CATGTCATTTATTTCTGCTCTGATCTTTATTATTTCTTTCCTTCTACTTCCTCTTGGATTTGTTAATTATTATTTTTCTTGTTCTTTTAGGTGTAGGGTTAGATTGTTTAGTGGAGATATTTTCTTGCTTCTTGAGGTAGACATGCAAAACTGTGAACTTCCCTCTCAGGACTGCTTTTGCTGTATCCCATAGATTTTGCATTGTTGTACATTCACTTTCATTTATTTCCAAGTACTTTTATTTCTTCCTTGATCTCATTGGTAACCTATTCATTGTTTAAAAACATGCTATTTAGCCTCCATGTGTTTGAATGTTTTTTAGATTTAAAAAAAAAATCTTTATTGTTGAATGTATTATGGATGTCCCTCCTTTTGCCCCTGTTGACCTTCTCCTCCCTGCTCCTGCCCCCCTCCTGCCTTCCCCACACTACTGTCTATGTCCATTGGTTATGTATATATGCATATAAGTTCTTTGGTTTCTCTCCCTCCCACCCCCCTTTCCTTTGAGGTTTGCCAGTCTAACAACCAATTTGTACTTCTTAATCCCTTCACCTTATTTCCCCATTCGCCCAACCCACCTGCCATCTGGCAACCAACAAAACGTTCTCTATATGAGTTCTGCTTGTTCATTTTGTCTGTAGATTCAATTGTTGATAAATATGTATGTATTTCCATTTTATTGTTCATATTTTTTATATTCTTTTTCTTCAAGAAGACCCTTCAACATTTCAGATAATACTGGTTTGGTGATGATGGCACTCCTTTAGCTTTTTCCTTTATGGGTAACTCTTTATATGTTCATGGAGTCTAAATGGTAGCTTTGGAAGATAAAGTAATTTTGGTTGTAGGTTCTTGCTTTTCATTACTCTGAATATTTCTTGCCACTTCCTTCCAGCCTGCAAAGTTTCTTTTGAGAAATCAACTGACAGTCTTATGGGAACTCCCTTGTAGGTAACTAACTGATTTTCTCTTGCTGCTTTTAAGATTCTCTTTGTTTATAACTTTTTGCATTTTGATTATGATGTGTCTTGGTGTGGGCTTCTTGGGATTCATTTTTTTTGGGATTCTCTGTGCTTCCTGGACTTGTATGTCTGTTGCCTTCACCAAGTTAGGGAAGTTTTCTGTCATTTTTTCAAATAGGTTTTGAGCTTCTTACTCTCTCTCTTCTCCTTCTGGCACCCCCATGATGAATGTTGGTATGCTTGAAGTTGTCCCAGAGGCCTCTTACACTATCCTCATTAATTTTTTTTTTCTTATTGCTGTTCTGATTGGATGTTTTTTTGCTTCCTTATATTCCAAATCAATGGTTTGCTTCTTGGCTTTACCTACTCTACTCTTGATTCCCTGTTCTATTCTTTATTTAAGTTAGTGTATCCTTCATTCCTGACTGTGAATCCTTCATTTCTGATTGGTCCTTTTTTATGCTTCCGAGGCCCTCACCAAGTTCACTGAACATCCTTGTAACCAGTATTTTGAACTCTGCCTCTGTTAGGTTGCTTATCTCCACATCATTTAGTTTTTTTCTTGGAGTTTTGTTCTGTTCTTTCATTTGGGACATGTTTCTTTGTTTCCTTATTTTGGCTGCCTCCCTGTGTTTGTTTCTATGTATTAAGTAGAGTTGCTATGTCTCCTACACTCCTGTGGGTGGCCTATTGTAGAAGGTGTCTAGTGGCACAGCCTTCCTGATCACCCAACTGTGCCTTTGAGGTACATCCCTTGTGTGGACTGCATACCCTTCTGTTGTAATTGAGTCTTGATTGCTGTTGGCATGTCAATGGGAGGGATTTACCCAGGTTGATCAACTTCAAGAACTGGCTGTGCCCCCTGACCACTGGCCTCTGACTACCTTGGAGGATAAGCTGTGCAGGGGTCCACCACACAGAGCAAGACTTACCTCAGCAGGGCTCTGGTATCCACTGAGTCCATTCCTTGAGTGGGTCGCTTGTGGAGGTTGTTGGGTGGTGGTGCTTCACTGTGGTCTGAAACTGTCCACTGGGTGTGCTGGCTCTGGGGCAAAGTCAGCCACTGCCTTTGTTCTCTTTGGGGCCACCAAGCATAAGTTACAAAGCGATCTGCAGATGGCTTCTTGTGCTGCGTTTGGAGGTGCCCAGGTGAAGCCAAGCTGTGAACCAAGGCTGGCTGCTTCTAGTGCCAGGCCTGGGGCCACTTAGTGAGAGGTATGGGGTTCAGTGAGGTCAGATGCTGCTTGTTTGAGAGAAATTATGAAAATCTGAAGCAGGAGCCAAGACAGGCCAATCCTATGGTAAAGCCTTTGGAAACTGCTTGGATGGGCCTGAAGGCTGGAATGGGTAGGGCCTCAGGGAATCATTAGGGTGGAACAAACAGTATGAGCCAGGTTGCTGGAGTCCCAGATATGGTGCAAGGTCTGACTGCCCCCTGGGGGAAGGGCTCACAGAAAGAACAAAGGCCTCTACCAGCAAGTCTGTTTGGGAGAAAGCTGCCCTGAAGCTTTTGCCCCAATGCCAAACAACTCAGTTCTTTCCTGTACATCTCTGTTGCCTTTCAAGTTGCCTCCACAACACTGGAGCCTGGAGGGTGTGAATCTGAGTAAGTCCGTGTGTGGGCCCTTTAACAGGAATTGCCCAGGACTCCAGAAGCCTCAGCCTCCCTCAGCTTCAGTTCCTGCTGGTTTTTACAGCCAGAAGTTATGGGGACTTCTCTTCCTGGCACTGGAACCCTGAGCTGGGAGGCCTGGTGTGGGACTGGGACACCTCACTCCTCAGGGAGAACCTTCCCAGCTGAGGTATCCCTCCTTATTTTTATCCATCACACGTGGGTGTGGGACCAGCCTGTCCTCGCCTCCATACCTCCTACTAGTCTTGATGTGACTTCTTCTTTAATTTCATAGTTTAGAACTTCCATTCATTCAATTTTAGGCATTTCTGAATGTTGGCTGTTCTGTTGTGATTTTGATGTGGTTGTGGGAGGAGGTGAGTACTGCATTTAACTATGCCTCCATCTTGACTGGAAGTCTAATTTTTTTTTTTTTGCTATAGTTTATTTCTAGTTTCATGCCATTTTCATCCAAGAAGATGCTTAATATGATTTAAATCTTCTTGAATTTGTTAAGACTTATTTTGTGTCCTAACATGTCATCTATCTTTGTGAATATTCTATGTGCACTTGAGAAGAATGTATATTCTCCTGCATTGGGATGAAATGTTCTGTTAATGTCAATTAAATCCAGCTGATCTGGTATATTATTTAAGGTTGCTGTTTCCTTATTGGTTTATCTCTGGAAGATCTAGCCAGTAATGCAGTGGGGTTTTAAAATTCCCTACTATGACTATAGTGCTGTTGATATCTCCCTTAAAGTCCACCAAGACTTTCTTTATATAGTTAGGAGCTCCATATATGTTTACAAGGGTTATATCCTCTATTGGACTGATCCTTTTAGTATTATGTAGTGACCTTCTTTGTCTCTTGTTATGGCCTTTGTTTTGAAGTCTACTTTGTCAGATATAAGTATTGCTATCCCAACTTTTAAAAATTTCCATTGGCATGGAATATTTTTTCCATCCCTTTGCTTTCAGCCTGTGTGAATCATTTGTTCTGAGGAGGGTCTCTTGGAGACAGCATATATATGGGTCATTTTTTAAATCCATTCAGCTACACTATGTCTTTTGATCGGAGCATTTAATCCATTTACATATAAGGTTATTATTGATAGGTACTTATTTATTGCCATTTTTTTTTTATACCTACGTTTCTCTATATATGTATTTCTTTTTCTTCATAAAGCAGTCCCATTAACATTTCTTGCAATACTAGTTTGGTGGTAATAAATTTCTTTAGCCATTTTTTGACTGGGAAGGTCTGTATTTCACCTTCAATTTTAAATGATAGCCTTAATGGATAGAGTAGTCTTGTTTTACATTACTTTGAATGTTTCTTGCCAGTCCCTCTGGCCTGAAGTGTTTTTGTTGAGAAATCAGCTGACAACCTTATGGGAACTTCCTTGTAGGTAACTGTCTCTCTCTTGGTGCCTTTAAGATTCTCTCTTTGTCTTTAACCTTTGCCATTTTAATTATGATGTGTCTTAGTGTGGGGCTTTTTGTGTTCATCTTGATTGAGACTCTCTGTGCTTCTTGAACTTGTATGACTTTTTCCTTCACCAGGTTATGAAAATTTTGTGTCATTATTTCTTCACACTGGTTCTCTGTCCTTTGCTCAATTTCTTCTCCTTCTGGTAACATATGATGAAGATGTTGTTACATTGCATATTGTCCCAAAGTTTCCTTAAATTATCCTCATGTTTCAAAATTCGTTTTCTTCTATTTTTGCTGCCCTGACTGGGTGTTTTCTCTACCTTGTCTTTCTTTCTTGTTTTTAAAATCCTCATCCAAGGATATTTTTTCGTTGCTTTTTAGAGAGAGTGGAAGAGAGGCAGGGAGGGAGGGAGGGAGAGAGAAACATCCATGTGAGAGAGACACATTGACTAGGTGCCTCCTGCATGACCCTGGCTGGGGCCAGGGATTGGACCTGCAATCCAGGTATGCACCCTTGACTGTAATCAAACTCATGACCTTTCAATTGGTGGGTTGATGCTCTAACCACTGAGAAAACCTGGCCAGGGCTTTACCTTGTCTTTCAAATTGCAGATTTGATCCTCATCTAACCTAGTTTTTAATCTATCCAGTGTATTTTTTTTAATCTTCACCCGAGGACATTTTTGCACTTGTCTTCAGACAGAGCAGGAAAGAGAGATGGAGGAAGAGAGAGAGAAACATTGACGTGAGAGAGACACATCGACTAGCCGCCACCCACACAACCCCATGAGGACAGGGACAAACCACAACTGAGGTACGCACCCTTAGTGGGAACCGAACCCAGAACTCTCTGGTCCGTGGGCTGATGCTCTAACCATTGAGCAAAACTGGCCAGGGCTGGCCAGTGTATTTTTTATATTAGATATGGTATTCTTTATTTCTGACTGGTTCTTTTTCAGTTTATTGTTGTTGTTGTTATTGTTTGTTTGTTTTTTTATGGAATGCTTTATGAATTTGCGTGTCATCCTTTCACAGGGCCAGGCTAATCTCTGTATCGTTCCAATTTTAGTATATGTGCTGCCGAAGCAAGCACCCTTTTCACTGTTTTTATGTTCTTCTTTTTATGCTCTTGTAGTTCTTACTAACTCCCTTCAGCATCCTTATAACCGTAACTTTGAACTGTAGATCTGAAAAAATTGCTTGCCTTCATTTTATTTAACTGATTTTCTGGAGCTTCCTTCTCTTCTTTCATTTGGGGCTTGCCTCTTTGTGTTTGTATCTATGTATTATTTAGAACTTCTATGGTTTCCAGTATTCACGAGGTGGTATTATGTAGTAGGTGTCCTGTGGGACCCAGTGGTGCAATCTCCTTGATCTTCTGAACTGGATGCTCTAGGAATGTCCCTTGTATGAGATCTGTGGGCCCTGCTGTTGTAATTGAGTCTTGATTGATGTTGGCCCATCTATGGTTGTGATTAACTCTCAGGATGGCTAATGGTGAGGCTCAACCCTGATTATGGCATGGAAGCTATTGTGCAGGTGCAGTCTCAAGGTGTCTTGGGTTCAGTGGCTCAATTTTCTAGACCCCCTGGGCTTTGTGCTCCAGGAATGTTTCTTATGGGTTATGTGCACCCCCTGTTGTAGTTTTGTCTTGAATGGTGTTGGACCTTTTATGGGTGGAGTGACTCTTCAGGCTGTGTGGCTTCTTCTGTACTCCTTGGTTATAATATTTGAGATCAGCCAGACTTTAGTTGGTTCTCAGGTTTACTGCTCTGTGATTTAGCTGAAAATCCGGTGTGGGGCCAGGAACACGTGGGTGCAGCTTCCAGCAACTCTGAAGCTATACTGTAACCTCCAAGCTACTTTTTAAGACCATAGTAGAGGACTCCAAAATGGTGGCAGAGTGAATGGAAGCTACACAGACCATTTCCCAGGACCAAACTGGAATTAAAACTAAAATAAAGACAAATCATTAGGAAAAACCAACAGAAAAGCAGCTGGAGAGGACCCATATAACCAGGGACAGAAAAAGGACACTAAATTGTGCATGGTAGGAACTGCAGAGGTGTGAGAGGGTGGGCTGGGAACCCACAGCTGTTTTAGCTGTGAACATCTCCTCAGGGTTAAAAGCCCAAGCCAGTTTCACAGCACAGAGGGCTGGGACAGAACACTCATTAGCTACAGCCACTCACCTTGGGATCTGGCAGAGAAAGGGCAGACTGGACTGGAACTGTGTGCAGAGACTCTAGATTTGGAGGGCACTGGGAGTTTTGTGCTGAATCACTCCCTCATAGGACAGTAGCCATCTTACTCAAAGAGCCCAGAGCCCTGGGGAGAAGCAACAGCTCCTCTCTCAGGAATTTAACACCACTAGACCAGGCCAGAGAAATGCAAATTGTGGCTCATTGACAGCCAACAAGCATCTGCTCTAGCCACTGGAAATCCTTTTACCCTGAACACCTGAGATATTTTTTTTATTCAATTGAGAGCTACAACCCAAGGCTCATCAAGTAACTGACACTAATAGCCACCAGGCAAAAAGCCAGAGAAAAACTGAACCTTTCCTGGCTTACAAATCTACCCAGGAAAGTAAGAGTTGACAGTGGTGTTTAACGTGGGTCCTCCTACACTCATCCAAACCCAGTAGAGGGAGCCACAATCAGTGGAACACCAACAACCACAGGGAAAATTTGGCAGATTACAAAACTTACTGAAATAGCCAAAATGGTGAAACAAAGAAACAAATCCCAAGTGAAAGAACAGAATAATTGGACAGAAGATGAAATAAATGAAAGGGAATTGAGCAAGACATCAGAGGGAGAGTTCAGAGTAATAATCATGAGGGAGCTCAACAGCATGAGTAAAGATATAGAAGCATTGAAAACCAACCAATTGAAAATGAAGAATAACATAGCAGAAATAAAGACCACATTGGAAGGAACCAGCAGATTAGAGGAGGCTGAGGATCAGATCAGTGAATTAAAAGACAGGGTAGAAAAAAAATCACCCAATCAGAGAACCAAAAAGAAAAAAAACAATTAAAAAACATGAAGAAAGCCTAAGAGAACTGTGGGACAACATGAAACATAACAACATCCGCATCATAGGAGTTAGAGAAGAAGAAGAAAATGAGCAAGGATAAGAGAATATATTTGAAGAAATAGTGACAGAGAGACTTGTGGTCAAGATGGTGTCACAGGTAAATGTGGTATCGCCTCCTCCCACAACCACATCAAAATTACAGCTAAACTGTAGGAAAAACATCCTTCAGAACCTCCTGAAATCAAGCTGAATTTAAGTCCTGCAACTATGAAATTAAAAAATCAGCCACATTAAGACTGGTAGGAAGGATAGAGGAGTGAATGGGCTGGTCCTACACCCACATGTGGCAGATAAAAATCAGGAGGGATACCTAGGCTGGGAATGTCCTCCTTGAGGAGTGAGGTGTCCCTGTCCCACACCAAATGCCCAGCTCAGGGTTCCAGTGCCAGGAAGAGAAGTCCCCATAACCTCTGGCTGTAAAAACCAGCAGGAACTGAGGCTAAGGGAGGTTGAGACTGCTGGAGCCCCAAGCAGCTCCTCTTAAAGGATCTGTGCAAGGACTTACTTGGACTTGCACCCACCAGGCTCTAGCATGGCAGAGGCAGCTTGAAAAGCACCAGTCATATGGGGAAGAACTGCGTTATTTGGCATCTGGGTGAAGACTGGAGAGGCAGTTTTCTCCTGGACAAACATGCTGCTGGAGGCCGTTGTTCCTTTGGCGAGCCCTTCCCCCACAGGGCTGGCAGATGGCAGGCATGTCTGGGACTCCAGAAAGCTGACGCATACTGTTTGCCCTCTCTGGTGATTCCTTGAGGTCCTGCCCCACCAAACTTTCAGGCCCACCCAAGCTGTTTCCAGTGGCTTTACCATAGTATTGGCCTGTTTTGGTGCCTGCTTCAGATTTTCCTAAATTCTCTCAAACAAGCAGTATCTGGTCTCAGCAAGCCCCATACCTCTCATTAAGTGGCCCCAGGCCTGGCACTAGAGGCAGCCAGCCTTGGTTCACAACTTGACTTTGCCTGGGTACCTCCAAGCCCAGCACAAGAAGCAGCCATCAACAGATTACTTTGTAGTTTATGCCTGGTGGCCCAAGGTAGAACACAGGCAGTGGCTGACCTTGCCCCAGAGCCAGCATACCCAATGGACAGCTTCAGCCCATGTCGAAGCACCACCACCCAACCACCTCCACAAGTGACACACTCAATGAGTGGACTCAGTGGGTACCAGAGCCCTGCTGAAGTACGTTTTGCTCTGTGATAGGGGCCCCTGCACAGCTGATCCTCTGATATAGTCAGAGGTCGATGGTTAGTGGGCACAGCCAGTCTTTGAAGCTTATCAGCCTGAGTAAAACCCTTCCATTGATGTGCCAACAGCAATCAAGACTCAATTACAGCATAAGAGTGTAAAGTCCACAGGAGGGGTGCACCCTAGGGCACAGCTAGGGTGATCAGGAAGGCTGTGCCACTGGACCCTTCAGGCCACCTACTACAACAAGCCACTCTAGGAAGCCTAGGAGACATAGCAACTCTACCTCATACATAGAAACAAACACAGGGAGGCAGCCAAAATTAGGAGACAAAGAAACAGGTCCCAAATGAAAGAACAGAGGAAAACTCCAAGAAAAGAACTCAATGAAATGGAGATAAGCAATCTAACTGATGCAGAGTTCAAAACACTGCTTATAAGGATGCTCAATGAACTTAGTGAGGGCCTCAAGAGCACGATAAAGGACCAGTCAGAAATGAAGAATGTACTGACTGAAATAAAGAATAATTTACAGGGAATCAATAGTAGAGTAGGTAAAGCCAAGAATCAAACCATTGATTTGGAATATAAGGAAGCAAAAAACACCCAATCGGAACAGAAAAGAGAAAAATATCCAAAAACACGATGATAATATAAGGAACCTGTGCGACAACTTCAAGTGTGCTAACATTTGGGAGTGCCAGAAGGAGAAGAGAGAAGACAAGAAATTGAAAATCTATTTGAAAAACTGACAGAAAAATTTTCTAACAAGTTCAGGAAGTACAGAGAGTCCCAAAGAAGATTAACCATAGAGGTTCACAAGACACATCATCATCAAAACGCAAAAGGTTAAAGACAAAGAGAGAATCTTAAAAGCAGCAAGATAAAAGCAGTTAATTACCTAGAACAAAGCTGCAAGAAGGCTGTTAGCTGTTTTCCCAAAAGAAACTTTGCAGGCCAGGAAGGAGTGGCAAGAAATATTTAAAGTGATGAAAAGGAAGGACCTACAACCAATATTACTCTATCCTGAAAATCTATCACTGGGAATTGATGGTCATAAAAAGTGTTTTCCAGACAAGACAATGCTAAAAAAGTTTATCACCACCAAACCAGTATTATATAAATGTTGACGGGTCTTCTTTAAGAAGAAGATAAAAAAAATATGAAAAATAAAATGGCAATAAATACATATCTATGAACAATTGAATCTATAAACAAAATGAGCAAGGAGAACAGAAACAGACTCATAGATACAGAGAACTTTTTGTTAGTTGCCAAATGGGAGGAGAGTTGGGTGAAAAAGATGAAGAGATTAGGAAGAACAAATTGATTGTTAGACTGATGAACCTCAAAGGGAAGGGGGGAGGTGAGGCAGGAAGAAAGAAACCAAAGAATCTATATGCATATATGCATAACCAATGGAAACAGACAATAGTGTGGGAAAAGCAGGAGGGAGTCAGGATGGGGAGGAGATATTCAAGGGTGGAAAAAAGAGGGACATTTGTAATGCATTCAACAATAAAGATGAGTAAAAAAAAGAAAGAAAGAAATAGAGACAGAAAACTTCCCTAACTTGGTGAAGGAAGAAGGCATTCAAGTTCAAGAAGCACAGAAAGCCCCAGGTAAGAAGAGCACAAACAGGCTCACATCAAGACACATAATAATTAAAATGCCAAAAATTAAAGACAAAAAGAGAATTCTAAAGGCAGGAAGAGATAAGCAACAGGTTACCGACAAAGGAAACTCCATAAGGCTCTCAGCTGACTTCTCAACAGAAACACTACAGGCCAGAAGGGAATGACATGA